ACGGCATATCTCATTTGAATCGACGATTAGCAATTGGATATGCTTTATCGTAAGGTGATTGCCTGTCGTGATATTGGCATGGACCATGGACCTTGTCTGATTGATGAGAAAGAGCAACGTTTGATGAATATGTGGGTCAGAAAAGATATGCTTTTTTTCTATGATAGCCGATAATGCTCAAACACAGCGTTGAATTAAGATTTGACAGATCACACTATATTTCTATAACTATCACTTTCATAGATGGCTGATATAATAAAAAAGTACATGTCATATCCTTATCAAAGGATAAAAAGAGAGCCCAGGCAATTCCAAGAAGAAAAAAGACATACTTCTGTAGACCTAAATTAGGCAGAAGTACAAAAGACCAAGAAGTATCAAGAGGATGTGAATAGGTCTTCTCTTCATTCATACTCATCCACATTCAGTATAGCTACATCATCTTTTCCTTCTAATATTTTGAGTTTTTCTTTTTCATTATAATATGAGCAAGAGGAATAAGCTGACGCTTTTTTTCTTTGAATGTCATAATATAAAAAAAAAAGGAATAGTAAAACGAGACTGGTACTTCATCTACTAGTATGATTTCTGCTTTTTTAAATATGAATGATATATATTATAAACAAAGATCCATTATATTGCTCTTTTATCTCTTGAGAAAACGATTATACACAACCACATAGGAATAAGTATAGCATATGAAAAAGTACAGAAACATGACTTTTTCCCCTCATGCTATTCAATTTAACCTTCAAAAATGGAAAAATATTTAGTGTAGGCTTCTTCCTTGATTAGTAACCAGATAGCACTAAAATACTTTTGATCTTATTTTTTTCCATAGTTAAGCTAGTAACTAGGTTTTTTCGCTTTGATTCTGTTTTTGTTTTCATTGCATAATGGTTATAAGAAGTTGTGAAAATATTTTCTTTTGTCAAATTAACCTATTTTGACATAAAATATTCATTTTTCACAACAATTCATGTGAGTAATCTGCACATTAAACGTGCTAAAATAAGTAACGACTGTCCTATATAGATACAAGGATATTTGTACAAGTTCATGACATTTGAGTCATTGTCATGTGCATTTCATCGTTATCTGCGAGTGAGGTTATATCCAACACAATCACTTCGAACGGTCGTGCCATTGTCGAACGAATCATATTGTATTCGACTCGACGGCAATAACATGAACTTTGGAAAAGACAAGATTCATGCTTCAGCATTCGTTCGAAGATACGTGTGTTCGATGTGATGATTGCAAATAAAATAAAAGCAATAACAATGTGATGCACACGTTTATATATAACTATCGAAACGAAAGGTAAATATTTTCTTTTACATCGATAGTGGGTTTTTTCCTTTTCAGTTTCTTGTCGTCATTTGTTTGATGGTGTACACTATAGTCATGTGAAAGAAAAAAAAAGGAAGTGAGTCAGAAATTATATTTACCTATAGACGTTAACGATTAAATAGAAAAAATAAACTGTTCGTTGTCGCTACAATACATAAGTACAATAAAACGAGAATATTTCTTTATGATGACTAAGCACATTGATATGTTTGCGAATAGTCAGTTTTGCAAGATCAAGTATGGTTATCAATGAACAGCCTTTGTTTTGGCACATCTGTTTCTTTTCGTAAATCCAACGATGTTCACATTTGCTAAAATGGATGCCAGCAGTGTGTCGATAAGCCTAAAACTATGATCATTTTTTTTCCTTCTGATATATTTCAGTTGAAAACCAACATTTGTTCGTTAATTATATAGATTCTTTGCCATGCTGTTGTTTTATATACGAACATATTTTCGAGTTGCATACAAAATATGTAATCTAATATGATTCGAATAAATCCTAGCTGACATGCTATCATTGATTGACGATATCTACCAGAGTACGTGTCACGTTGAGGATCAGCTTATTCAATTTATGCCAACGTTTATTATAGTGGATGTTCGAAAAATTTTTGACTATATTATATTCTTCGGGATACTTCCTTTCTTTTAGATCACACATCCATACCCAAACACTCATGTGTCCATCCTCAAATAGTTAGCTATCTCTATTCTGTAATCGAAGTAGCTAGAGCTCTGTATCACACACCAGGTTTGAAATCAGATGGTCAGAAATAGTGAAAGTTTCTTTTGTGACAACTATGAAGACTTGTTTTAGATAGAAGCTCGTCGTTCCAGTGATTGAACATGTGGTCGATTTTTATTCTTCGAGAATACTGAAGTTATTCACAAGAAACATTAATCAGACAAATGTGATTTCCTGTACTCTCCAATGTAACATTTTAGAATAACATGTCAAACCTGCCATTCGAGAGGAGTAATATCTTCAACAGAATGCATCGATCCTCAAGTAAATATCAAGATTTCGATTTGATACATGTGCGCAATAAAAGTCCAACTATATTTAATACGTCATACATCTTTGATAATAGCAAACAGAAAAGCATCTTTTCGTTCTCATTTTACGATCTGATCTGACTTAGAATCATTACGTTTAGAACAAGTATATTTGAACAAAAGTGTTCAGCTCAGTTTCACCACTATTGTGGTTCTATATATCAACAGTACAACAGCTATTTGAAACACAAGCTATTGGTGTAGACATCATACAACATAGAGATCTACTACAAAACATTGGTGCGAAAATTGTTCGTATGCCAATGCCTTGGCGATTATTAGAAGCAGAGAATAAAAGTAAATTATCAACATGGTATGTTAATAATTTAGATTCCCACTGCCGAGCACTTGAACGACCATGAATGAAAATTATTATTCAGATGACTCAAACATCCTGTTGGACGTCATTATTACTGAATTGTGATCTTTTCATGTCTCGCCCAAAATTCTTTGGTAATAATGCTGATGCAATGAGCTTTTTGTTGTGATGTTTTAGCAAACGGATCTATGTGTAGGAAATATGAAACGAACTGAATTTAGCCGCAAACTGACTATATCTTAAATGTAAATCGAATAGTACCTTATGCGAATAAGCAGCACATTTAAATGACGAATATGAGTCTTTTATTGACCTAATTGGTGCACGAGAATATTTAGCTATAGTCAAAATTACGTATCAGAAAATGAAAGCAATAGGTGTCGCATGAGAAAGTTGATTTAGACTATCTTAAGAACGGCTGAACGTATTGACCTGTCCTCTGGTTCTTATGGGTTTCACGACGTACTCTTTCCTTTGTCTAGCGGACATTTTTGTTCAAAATGCTCGGAAGTAGGTTTTCTATAAAACCGTGGTTTGGGAACCAATAGTCGCGAAAGTTTTTTTCTTTTAACATTCTATAATGATAGAGTAACCACTTCTCTACAGAATGCATTAAAATGATGAAACGAACATAAAAATTGATGTATTTCAAATTTATCGATTAAAACAGACATTTTCATCAATTTAGTTTCTATGATTTTGCTAAAAAATAAAAATTCATTGCATTTACTTCATTAAATTGTCACTTTTAATCATTGAATTTGAGATGCATCAATTTTCATATCCGTTTGATCATCCAAAATGCCTGCTTTTTTCGTGTTTTTAATTTAAAAGTCACGGAAATCGTGAATTAATTGTTTGATTTTTCAAGACTATGTAGTGTGGCTGTGGAGAAGTCAAGATGTGGGAAAAAGAAGGAGGACACGTGCATGCACACTCCCTTCATCAACTATTTAAACAATAACAGTCTAATGATACTTTTCATGCATTAGCTTACTTCTCGTTTCTGCATTAAAAATTTCCTTCTATGACGTTCACCAACATAATATCTGTATATCAATTTCTTATATCTTCGCTTGAAAGAAGATACTTGCCTTCACTTTTCTTCCGTAAATTATTTTAAAAGTGAACATCAACTTACACTTTTGCTCACTATTCGTTTTCAATTGGAGAAGAACTTGTTTTAACCATGATACTTTTCGTGCGTTCGCTTACTATATGTTTCTCAACTGTAGAAAAATAGAGAGTGATCAAAAACATGATATTTAAGCCAAGTTTTTCTTCAGTTGAAAATCAAACGGTGTCCAAAAGTATCAAAAGCATCAGTACTGAAACAAGTGTTTCTCGAGTTGAATAACTTGTTTTACTAGTGTACAAAAGTATTCAAATATTTAGATAATTTTGAACAATTCTTTTTTCATCTTGAGAAAAATTTGCTTTAATCATAATGCTTATACTCATTTTTCTGTTTTTTTGGTGAAATAGGACTTGCTTAGAAAGTGTGGACACTTAGAATAGGTTATAATTACTGTTAGTGATGTTTCCCGAAATGAAAGTGCTGTTCTAGTATTTCTTTCGTGTTTTTTTGGAAGAGTACTAGACTTGTGAGTTTTTTTTAGATTGGAGAAGGTGAATCTCTAGTCTGCTTTAAACAATTTTGAAATTTTCTTTCTAGTCAGATCGTATTAATGTGGAAAGGAATGTTATTTGAAAAGTTTTGATGCCTTTCAATCGCATTCTATTCGATTACACTCTTGCTAGGATGCGATAGGAGTCCTATGAACAGTAAATATTATGGATCAGACGATCGATATGTGGTGTTCGTCTAACAAAATCAAGCAGTGATGTACGATGATATTTAATCGTTGAGCTATGCAATTATCAGTAAGTTTGTCGGTCCCATAACATCATGATTTTCTATTACAGTCCTTACTCATATATCCTATTTAAGGTCGAACGATTCTAAATTCGAATTTTATCAAGTCCTTCGAGATCCAATCAGAATCGGGTTGTGGATGATCTCTCCACCCACATTCACACCCTCACCAAGTATAGCTACTCTGAAGGACATTTCGTCAAAGACATTTTCTAAAGGACATTCTAGATTGTTACCGATTGCGATGATAAGAAATGCATGGGCTTCTAGTATTTGAAAGAAAGAAGCGTTTTTAACTAACTGATAGTATACCAATATTACCTTATCTCTAATGTTTCATCAAGCACATATTGCTGTGCACAGAACATAGGCCATTTAAGATAAAACATCACAATGATCGACCACCTTTTGTTTTATGTAAATGGAAAAGAAATTCTGGAGCGTAACGTTGAGCCTGAATGGACTCTACTTTGGTATTTAAGAAATAGTAAATAATAACAGAAATATTCTTAAATAGTATTAATTGTTATTTTTCCTATTTAGAATTAAGATTAACTGGTTCGAAATTAGGTTGTGGTGAAGGTGGTTGTGGAGCTTGTACAGTTTTAGTTTCACGATCCATTGATCGTGATTCTGGTGAAATTGAACATCGAACAATAAATGCTTGTCTAGCACCTCTATGTTCTGTTGATGGATGTCATGTTATTACTGTCGAAGGATTAGGTTCAACAAACAAATCAAACCTACATTCTACTCAAATTCGTCTTGCAGAATTATTTGCTACACAATGTGGTTTTTGTACACCAGGCATAGTTATGTCTTTATATGGAACAGTTACATCAAAAGATAATTCATTACCGACAATGGAAGATATTGAAGAAAGTTTTGATGGAAATCTTTGTCGATGTACGGGATATCGTCCAATTCTTGATGCTGCAAAAACATTTGCATGTGATATTAATAAACTTGATTATCAAAAATCTTCATTACCAAGAACATCAACTACATATGATAAATGTTATTCGTATGTTCATCAAAATACATTACCAATCGATCAAGTTCAATTTCCAGATAAACTTCGAGATTATATTCCTCAATCAATTCATATTAAAGGTATTATCTTATTTTAATCTAATGAATAACTATCTTCAAGTGATAAAAACTTTTTGATCTTAGATTTTTTTCAAAAAGATAAAAAGAAATGTGTGAACTACACAAAATCTAAAACGAAATGTTAAAAAAAAAGTATGATTTAAATAAGATATCAATTTTCAGGTAGAATTGACTTTGCAAACTGTAACCTAGACTTTTGGTTATAAAGAGAAGCATAAAATAGACAAACTTGTAAACAAATTTTTCAAATTTTAAAGAGATTTTCTGCAAGACAATAGCGTATTTCAATAATTGTTGTACACTCAACTTTTTCATTCTTTTCTTTTTGATTTCACTTAACCTTGCAAATTTTACGTCGAACACGAACAATGATTCAAATTTTTGTTGATGTCATTGATGCTTCACCAGTTATATTTGATGTTTTTGTCTTTTATAATACACATACATGCTCATTCAAATAATTCTTAACACTTGAAGAACCATAATTAAATGCTTTTTGACAAATACGACAATTCACAGAACCTTGAATTCATTGCTATTCATCATTACAGTTTTTTGTTGCTGAAAAACCAAATACTTTCCACAATATAGTTTTTAAATTCATTGCCTCGTTATTGATTATTATATACATGCAGCTCTCATTTTTCAACGCATGTCTAATTTTCTTTGAGAAATATGTCAAAGTTGTGA